TGAACAAGCTGTAAAAACCTTGCCCTCTGGGTCCAACTGCCTCTACCTCCAGGATATATACCTGTCTGATTGCACTTCGTCTTTACTCCTGCAGGGTGGGAAAGCAGGCCAGGATTTCGAGGTCCTGCTTTTAGCCAATCAGTGGCAGCGCTGGGCCCCAGGCTGGTGTGTCAAGTGTCATGTTGTGCCTGGTAGCTGCCAGGCCCCTGCTGAAACTGCCTCTTGTATTGGCAGGAAAAGGAGAAAGCCCAGTTGGCAGCAGAATCTCTAAAGCAGGTGAATTGTGGTGCTTCTGGAAGCCAGGAGCTGAGGCCTGCCAGGGAGAGGTTTTTGGAGTGGCCTGACCAGGAGCTGGATCGGGTCAACAGCTTCCTGAGCAGCCGTCTGCAGGAGATCAAGAACACTGTCAAGGACTCCATCCGTGCCAGCTTCAGTGTATGTGAGCTCAACATGGACAGCAATGGCTTCTCTAAGGAGAGGGCTGCTGAGCCAGAGACCCAGAGTCTACCCCCTTTGAACCTCAATGGCTCCTCAGGGCACCGGCCTGACATCAACCTTGACCTTTCCCCTTTGACTTTGGGCTCCCCTCAGAACCACATGTTACAAGCTCCAAGTGAATCAGCCTCACCATGGGCAGAAATGAGAAGCCCCCAACCACTATGGACAGAGGTGAGGGGCCCTCCTCCTGGTATCATCCCAGAGAATGGGCTAGTGAGGAGACTCAACACCGTGCCCAACCTGTCCCGGGTGATCTGGGTCAAAACACCCAAGCCAGGCAACACCAGCTCTGAGGAGCCAAGCCCAAAGGAAGTCCCTAGTAATAAGCAGGAGGCGCCTGGCCCTGTGGCCTCAGGTGGGAAGCCGCGGAAAGGCAAAAGACAGGGTGGTCAGGCTAAGAAGAGCGAGGCAACTCTAGCCCCCAGGTCTTCGGCCAGCCTGGAGGCTCCCGGTGCTAAGGGCCAGACATCCAAGCAGCCAGGCAAGACCCTGGAACCTCCCAAAGTGGGCTGCGGTGCTGAGGCCGGAGAGGGGAGCCCAGGAAACCGGCCAGAACCAGGCTGGGCTAGCAGCCCAAAAGCTGACAAGGAGAAGGGCAGCTCTTGGCGAAATTGGCCAAGTGAGGCCAAGGCACGGCCTCTGCAACAGGAGTTTGTGCAGCCCTCAGGCCCAGCAAGGCCACAGAGCTTGCCACAGGGCAAGGGCCGCAGCCGCCGGAGCCGCAACAAGCAGGAAAAGTCGGCCTCCTCCTTGGGTGAGTGCACCAGGAACAGTGGCTGGCCCCCACCCTGCCAGCCCACGGGGTGGAGGGCAGTCCTCATGTGTGGGCAGCACTGACCCAGAGGCCTGGCTGTGGGCACTGAGCCCTCCTGGCTGTGTCTTCCTAGACGATGTGTTCCTGCCCAAGGACATGGATGGGGTGGAGATGGATGAGACTGACCGGGAGGTGGAATACTTCAAGAGGTAGGTGTGGGGCCACCTGCTGTCCCGCCCGCACCCAGGCCTTTAAGAAAGGGCCTCCCTCAGCCCTGAGCCCTGGGATGGAGAGCCTCTCCAGCCCTCCTGGCTTTCCCCACAGTCTCCACACTAAAGAAGCCACCTGGCAGGATGGGGCATCTGGCAAGCTCCAAGGGACTGAATGAAGGTGTGTGTGCCAGACCCCAAGAACCAGGCCTTTTTCCGAGTTCATTCACTTTGTTTATTCACTTGTACTTCCTCTACTCTGCTGGACTGAGCTCTGGGGCAGAGGTGAATCAAACAGTCTAGGTGGGGAGAGAGCATAAACCCACCGGCTGGCAATAAGTGCTGCTACAGGAGTGAGTGGTGGGGATAGCCAGAGCAGCCCTCCCAGAAGAGGTGATAACCAAGCTGAAACTTGAGGAATAGGAATAAGTGGGCCAAGGAAAACAAGGATATTTGTGACAGTGGAGTCAGCACATACAGAGATTTGAGGGTGAAAGAAGCATATCCTTAGGGGAATGAAAGGCAGCCCAGCATAGCTAGAGTAAAATACAGGGTGAAGAGGGCGTCATATAGTAAGGCCGTGTCAACTCTCTTCATATCTTGTCCCCTGGGCTCGTGGGTGCTCCATCCTGATAGCCCCCATCCAGCACAACTACCATACCTGCAAGACCCCAGCAACCAGGAGCTGGAGAGGTTGTACAGAGCTGACCTCGCTGCTTTAGTGACCAGAACACAGGGGTCTAGGAGAGGGGTACAGTAGACTGGGGAATCTTTGATTGTGCTTCTTCTGTGTCATCCCCCAAACCTGACAGATTCTGTTTGGATTCTGCAAAGCAAACACGTCAGAAAGTTGCTGTGAACTGGACCAACTTCAGCCTCAAGAAAACCACTCCCAGCACAGCTCAGTGAGGTATACAAACCCCCAAGTGTCGCGTGCACCTTCTTCTGATGCTCTGCCAGCTTCTGTTGCCAACAGAACATTTCGTGCTCTGAGGCTCAGGGAATTGGACTGGGGGCTTGGTATCCTGGTCCCTGCACCACCTCCACAGTGACAGCCGAGCAGCCTATGCTCTCCAGAGGCACAAGCCCTGTCTATTCTGCAGCCATTTACTCCTTAGGACTCTGAGCTTACATTGCTCCTCCCTGGGCCAGGCCCTCCTGTGAGATCTCTTTTCCAAGATAAAAGATGCTCCCTCCCCCCTCCCCTTCTTTGACCTTTATCCTCCAGAGCAGGAGTCTGAGTGCAGAGGCAGTGTCTCCCCCGCCTGTACCCACAAGAGCACGTGCCCCACATTGGCCTGGGGGGAGGGTGTGCTGCCTGCCATAGAGAGCCGCGAGCTCCTTAGGGATAGTCCCACATTTCTTTAGATCTAGGATGACATTTCACATGCTGATGAACAGAACTGGGGCTGTTTCCTGGCAGGGTTTTAATTTTCATCCTCTGCTATAGGTGATTGAAGAAGTCTGTGGAAGAAAAAGTAGGAGGCAACTGTTCCTCCTTCCACCTTGGACCTATGGCATGGTGGCATGGGAAGACTGTTACTCACCATGTTGTCATGCTCTTCTGTTTTCTCAGCCCCTGCTGGGTCCAGCTTCTTCAGGTGTCCTGAGACCCCCAACTGCCAGCTGAAGGTCTACAGTTTCTCCTCCATATCCCCACCCAAGACCCTCCTTGCTCCCCGCCATCCTGGACCAACCAAAAGCTGAGCAGATGCTCTGTCGGGCCGGGCCCCCTCAGGACCTCCACAGAGCCGCCTCCTGGTGCTATGCAGCCTCCATATTCAGAGCCCGGAGGCTGGGCTGGCCTGTGGGCCAGGGGCTGATGGTACTGCTGGCCCAACACTGCTCATTTTGTGTTTGGTATTTTTGTTTTTGTTTGTTTGTTGTTTTTTAATTCCTTACTTTTGATACTGTGAAAATCTTTCCTACCGAAAGATAAAACAACATTTGGACACAGAATCGGTGTGTTGGTCTTTTGCTAGACTGGGTCAGGGGTGAGGTGAGGGATATAATCAGAAGTACAGTGTTATCAATGGCTTGGCAATGTTTCCACTTAATTCTTGCATCTGTTCTAAGTGGGACTATTAAGTGGGAAGTTTATAGATGAAACTAAAGCTAAGACAAGAAAGTGACTAGTGAACTCAGTCTGGCTGACTAGGGTTAAAGCACACATCTCTGCCCTTTCCTCCTGTTGTGAGGCTTTGTATGGGAGCAGCCCTTTCCCCACACTGTCTGTTTCTCCCCTGTAGGACGGGTGAATGGGAGGAATGGGACAAGGTCTGAATAGCTGATGTGAAAAGGGGCTGGAGGCCTTTATGGAGGGTGTTTTGAGGTTGTCAGGGAAAGTTTGGAGGGGGAGGGAGTGTAGATTGAGTTTTTATAATTTGGATCTGACTTTCCAATGGGAATAAGACATGTAGCTTAAATACTTGACAGTTAAGAGAATAAACCCTTCTGTAAAGTAAAGCAAACTATGCCCCTTCCCCATTAGATTTGCTTTGTAAATTCAAATTTTAATATAATAGGTTTGCTAAAAATGCCTCACACACCTCAGGCCCTTTGAGATATAACGTGCCTGTGTGGGAGGAGGCTCAGTCCACAAGCTACAACCATACCTCGGCCCTCAGCCACACTCTCCAGGATCTTCTCCTCTTCCTTCAACTGCTTTTCCTTGGCAGACTCCTTGCGGGCTGAGGAGAAAAGCAGACAAATGTCAGAGAGACACCAAAGCAGTGCACCAAAGCAGTTGACTAAAATCAACTCTTAACTTTAGCTCATGTGGGGAGTGACGGAGGCAGTGGCCACACACTAAGTACCTTAAAAAAGTTTTTTTTAATTGATTTCAGAGAGGAAAGGAGAGGGAGAGATGGAAACATCAATGATGAGAAAGTATCATAGGTCTGCTGCCTCTTGCATGCCCCCTACTGGAGATTGAGCCTGAAACCTAGGCATGTGCCTTTGACCAGAATCGAACTCAGCACCCTTCAGTCTGAAGGCTGATACTGCTCTAGCTATTGAGCCAAACCAGCTAGGGTGACTAAGTACCTTTATGTAGTGTTTGGAGCAGGATCAGAAACAGCTCCCTTTTCCCATCCCACCCCTCCACCTGGTTGAGCCCCACCATTGGCTAGCAGTCAGTGCCACCTTCCTCTTCTAAAGAAGTGAAACAGCATTGCCCACAGGCTCACAATTCCAGTTCCCAGGGAAGTATGGACACTCGTATAAAACCTTTTTCTGTGTATTTATTACCTGTGTTCCTCTAACGCTGTAACTGTTGCACCAGCCTCCTGTCCTCAAGTTGAATTGGCCCAGCTATCTAAAATTCTACCTCACCTGGCAGATGTGGCTCCATGGATTGAGCATTGTCCCATGCATCAAGAGTTCAATTCCAGGTCAGGGCACATGCAGTATGGGGTGTGCAGGAGGCAGCCAATCAATGATTTTCTCATCATTGATTTTTCTAACTCCCTTCCTCTCTGAAATCAATAAAAATATATTTCAAAATAAAGACATTTTTTAAAAATAATAAAATTCTGTCTTATTTGAAAATTTCAGGACTGATTGAAATAGCACTTTTCCTATAGATAAAAGACTTCTGTGGGTGGCATTTTGGACCCCCTTGCCTGGCTTCTGCCTCCAGCAGTCACCTAGCCATACCTACCACCGTAGTCTCCAGCTAGGCCTGACATCCTTGATCTCCTAACTTTTGTTCACATACTTGCCTCTTCGCAGATTACCCTTCTGTCATAAATTCCTGCTTATTCACATTCCCATTGAGAAGACACTTTTACTATGAGAATCAGTTTGCTCTGCCTTTGTGATGATTCCACCATGTCTTGATACTTCTTAACCTCGACTGGTTATATTTTGTTTCCTCAACTAATCCATAATCTCACAAGCCAGGTTTGCTTCTTGCTCATCTTTTCTCTGCTCCAGCACTGCACAATCCCCTGCACACAACGACAGCACTGACTCATCACTCCTCTCAGTCCCTAATGCCAAAATTACTGACAGTCACTGTCCTGCATGCTCTGAGCCCAAATTACCAAAACCCTTGCTCTGACTGCCCCTACTCCATGTGGGCCAATTGATCTCTTTAATCCCTGGAAATCTGCTCTTGCACATGGCAGATCACTCCTGCTGGACCTTTCTTCCTCTCCGCTCCCTGCTCTGATATTCCACACTTCCTGGAAGCTTTGATCCAATCACTGTCTCCTCGAAGTCGACTCAGGTTTCCTCTGAGCTCTGTTACAGCGTTTACATTAATAACAGCTTACACACATATGTACAGACCCTCAGTAGAAAACCACCGTCGTCAGTATTTTATTTACCACTCACTACTCTGAACATAGGTGCTCAGAAGAGGACACCAGTCAGAACGGCAGCGCTTGAGTCACTCCGCGAGCCCCATCCTGCCCGCTCGACCCTGTGGGGGACGGAGGTCCGGCCCCGGGGCTCCCCAACTTCTAGAGGGCGCAGTGTGCCGGCGTGCGTGCGCTATGACGTCGTGCTCTGAGCGACGGTCTTCCCTCGGGGCAGCACTCCTGCCACCGGATTCCGTGCGAGCCTTTAGCTCATGCTTCAAATCCTCCCGCATCCCACAATGCTTTGCCAGCTGCATTGCCACAAGGAGAACGTAAACACCGCCCCACAAGACAGCGGCTCAGGAGAAAGTTTGTCCCTCGGCGCGATCCGTCATCCAGAGATCGTTGCTAGGCGCCGACATCCGCTTCTTTACATCTGATTGGATCTCAGGTATAAGGCGGGGTTTTCTGCTGTGGGGCGCATGCGTGCAGAAAAGGATGGAGGATTCGGAACCGGAACGGAAGGTGGGAGAGAGGCTGGGGTTCTCTGGGTGGCGTGCCGCCGTGAAGAAGGGGAGGAAGGGGTTCCGGGCTTGATTCCTGGGTCTCTGTAGCGGGCTCGTACCGACGAGGCGACTGCCTCCGGAAGCCGTTCCGAGGCGGAGGAAGAAGACGACGAGGACTATGTGCCCTACGTGCCATTGCGACAGCGCCGACAGCTGCTGGTGAGGGCCGGGGTCTAAGGAGGAATGAGGGTAGGGGTGGGTGTTTCACAGTGGTCTGTGGAGTGAGGGGGTCTACACGGAGCGTGGCTTCAGTCACAGCCCGAGGGCCTGGCGACCTGATCTGAGGGGTAGAGCAGCTCTGCACCTCGGGGCACGATCTTCTCTCAAAAGCCAGGATCCTGCCGCAGCTCCTGGGCGCGATGCCCAGCTCTGTGTCGGGCTTGGCTCTGAGGGGCGCTGCTGGACCCTCAGCTCCAGAAGCTGCTACAGCGAAGACGCAAGGGAGCTGCGGAGGAGGAGCAGCAGGACAGTGGCAGTGACTACCGGGGAGATGAGGACGACATCCCTCTGGGCCCTCAGTCCAACGTCAGCCTCCTGGATCAACACCAGCACCTCAAAGAGAAGGCTGAAGGTGGGCTCAGCAGTGGCGGGAGGCTCAGCTTGGTGCACTGCTTTGGTGTCTCTCTGACATTTGTCTGCTTTTCTCCTCAGCTCGCAAGGAGTCTGCCAAGGAAAAGCAGTTGAAGGAAGAGGAGAAGATCTTGGAGAGTGTGGCTGAGGGCCGAGGTATGGTTGTAGCTTGGGCAGGGAGGAAGAGGACTGAACCTCCTCCCACACAGGCACGTTATATCTCAAAGGGCCTCTGGGAAGAAGCCAGCCCTGAGTCACATCTTTCTTCTCAGCCTTGATGTCGGTGAAAGAGATGGCCAAAGGAATCACATATGATGATCCAATCAAAACCAGGTATATCTTTATAGTCTCTGGAAAAGCAGTTACCCTTACCTGGAATAGTTTATGGCTGAGATTGGCAGGGACATGCCAAAGGCAGCTATGCCCAGGGCCTCTCTTAACCTCTACCACCACTCACAGCTGGACACCTCCCCGTTATGTCCTGAGTATGTCTGAAGAGCGGCATGAGCGTGTACGGAAAAAGTACCACATCCTGGTGGAAGGAGATGGTATCCCACCACCCATCAAGAGCTTCAAGGAAATGAAATTTCCTGCAGGTACCTGGGGAGTGGGAGTGGCTCCACACTTTGGTAGTCAAATATCTGTGAGGTTGTCCTAGTTCCCACTGAGCTCAGCAGCTGCAGCGGGGATTTGGGGAGGGGTTTCTTTAAGCTCCTTTTTCAGTTGTGCCAGCTGAAGATACTCACTATTCTGTGCCACTAGGAAGCCTAATTGGACAGGTGAGGCTGGCTTTAGATCTGGGTGTGAATTCTGTCTCCATTTAGCCTAGGAGCTTTGAACAGGTCTGTCAGACTTTTCCCTCCCTCTCTGTTTCTATGGTTCATCATTTGTAACTTGAGGGGGATGGTGGCAGTTTTGAGACATCAGAGTGATGTCAGGGTTGTTTTCCGCAGCCATCCTGAGAGGCCTCAAGAAGAAGGGCATCCACCACCCAACGCCTATTCAGATCCAGGGCATCCCCACCATGTGAGTGTGGACTGGGGCCCTGAGAAGGGCAGTGTTAGGCAGGTCCTTCATTCTGCTGAACTTGACCTGCAGCCTATCCTCTGCCCACAGCCTCTCTGGCCGGGACATGATAGGCATTGCCTTCACGGGGTCAGGAAAGACGCTGGTGTTCACTCTGCCTGTCATCATGTTCTGCCTGGAACAAGAAAAGAGGTTACCTTTCTCCAAGCGTGAAGGTCCCTATGGACTCATTATCTGCCCCTCGGTAAAATAGGCTGGCCTGGAGGGCAGGACACCAAGGAGACTGTCTTCTGGTACCAGCCCCTGCCCCTGTGTCTGCAGAGAGAGCTGGCCCGGCAGACCCACGGCATCCTGGAGTATTACTGCCGCCTGCTGCAGGAGGACAGCTCGCCACTCCTGCGCTGCGCGCTTTGCATCGGGGGCATGTCTGTCAAAGAGCAGATGGAGACCATCCGACAGTGAGCATAAGCACCCCTCACCCAGGGCCTCCCCAAAGCGTCTAGATAAGCTGAAGGATCCTTTGCTTTAGCTATTCTGCAGGTCCTTGCAGAGGCCCAATTAAAAGAGCTCCCAGTCTCATGCAGAGGTCAGCTGGGGTGGGAGGGGGATGTGGCGAGGGACTGTGGGAACATAGCAAATGGAACAGAGGCATCTGGAAAGTCAGAGGATTGGGGCATCCCAGGCAGAAGACAAAGATGGGGGGCCTGGGGTGTTCAGAAAGGTTAGGGTCATTCAGTGTGTGGTCCAGCAAGGAGGCTAATGCAGTGGGCCAGAGCTGGACCCTTGCTCTTCCACACAGTGCAGCCAGACCCCAGTAGATATCACCAGTTGTCTGGGGTCACTGACAGGGCACACCCAGTCCCTGCTTGATAGGCATCCCAGCCTCAGGGAAGATACAGAACAGTTGAATTCTCTGTGCCAATAAAGTGAGCCCTTCCCCGCCTATGGAGGGAGCTGGGGGAGTGCGAGTTGAGGCTATTTGGAGATTAAGAACAGCCCCCTCCTGGGGGCAAGAGAAATGACCGAAAAGAAAGGAAATGGCAGAGGTCAAAACATGGGTGGGAAGAGCTCCGGAATATAGATAGCATTGGCCAAGAAGGCTGCAGTCTGCTCCAGTAGGGACGTATGCTGAACCCCGGGCAAAGTGGTAGGACTGATGAGGAGGGGACAGGTGAGAGACGGGAAGGAGGCCAGAGGTGGGGAGTCACAGAAGTAGGGCTGAGCAGTTGGCCCGACCTCACAATCTCTCTTGGCCCCAGTGGTGTGCACATGATGGTGGCTACCCCTGGGCGCCTCATGGACCTACTGCAGAAGAAGATGGTCAGCCTAGACATCTGTCGCTACCTGGCCCTAGACGAGGCTGACCGCATGATTGACATGGGTTTCGAGGGTGACATCCGCACCATCTTCTCCTACTTCAAGGTACCCGTCCCTGCCTGGCCAGGGTACTCCTGCACCCTCGGGGCTGTCCACCCTCTGTCCCAGCTGCTTAACTTTCCCAGACCCCGTGTGTCCTCAGTCCCAGCTCTCTCTCAGGGCCAGCGACAGACCCTACTCTTCAGTGCCACCATGCCTAAGAAGATACAGAACTTTGCCAAGAGTGCCCTGGTGAAGCCTGTCACCATCAATGTGGGGCGCGCTGGGGCCGCCAGCCTCGATGTCATACAGGTGGGCAGCTCACCACTGAGGGCTGGGTCTCAGACTCCCTTGAAGCTGATTGGAGCAGAGTGGGTGGTCCTCCTTGGGGGCATTAGGAGTTCCATTCAAAGCTTCAATCCTTAGGGGGAAACATTCCTAAGGTGTCCAGCCCTTGGTGCAAGAGACTTTTAATCACCTCCTAGATGGGATTGGGGGGCCCAGCCTCTGCAGCAGCACTGTGGCTGGTGAGCCTGTTCTCAGGATCACCTGACATAGCTCCTGTGGTGGCAGGAGGTGGAATATGTGAAGGAGGAGGCCAAGATGGTGTATCTGCTCGAGTGCCTGCAGAAGACACCCCCGCCCGTGAGTGCAGCCCAGGATCCCTAAGATGAGGGGAGAGGGCAGTAGGGGCAGGATGCTGGGGAAGATTGTGGTCATTGAGTGGAGACACTCCCTGTGACTAGAGGTGGCCTTTCCGGACAGGTGCTCATCTTTGCAGAGAAGAAAGCAGATGTGGATGCCATCCATGAGTACCTGCTGCTCAAGGGGGTCGAGGCCGTGGCCATCCATGGGGGCAAAGGTCAGGATGGCATATGTGTAGGCGTGAACCTGGCTGCTATAGCAGCCCTTCACCTAACCCTTTCCCTGCCTGGCTGGCTTGCCACTACTCCCCAGGCTCCTGCTGTCACCCTGACAGCTCCCGCCTGACCCTCCCCAGACCAGGAGGAACGGACCAAGGCTATCGAGGCATTCCGGGAGGGCAAGAAGGATGTTCTAGTGGCCACAGACGTAGCCTCCAAGGGCCTGGACTTCCCTGCCATTCAGCACGTCATCAATTACGACATGCCTGAGGAGATTGAGAACTACGGTGGGAGCTTGTGTGGTTGGGGTGCGGGCTAGGCCCCAGGCATGGGCAGTGGGCCAAAGACTGTTTCCTCTCTGCAGTGCACAGAATAGGCCGCACTGGGCGCTCAGGAAACACAGGCATCGCCACCACCTTCATCAACAAGGCCTGCGGTGAGTCTGCTTCCAGGGCCACCAGAGCGTTTCCCGAGTCCTACCGGTCCTGGCTACGGGGCCCAGGGTTGGACCTAATCATTCCCCACTGCCCCCACAGATGAGTCAGTGCTGATGGACCTCAAAGCCCTGCTGCTGGAGGCCAAGCAGAAGGTGCCACCTGTGCTGCAAGTGCTGCACTGTGGGGACGAGTCCATGCTGGAGATCGGAGGTGACTGTGAAGCGGGAGGTAGTCCAGAGGGGGGCATGACAGGATCACCAGGAAGCAAGCCTACACTGCACATGAGTGGGTGGGGGGTTTGGTGGGCAGGGGGACATGTCTGAGGCACAGAACCTAGCCCTGTCACCATGCTGATCTCCATTTCCCTATGCCCCTAGGAGAACGAGGCTGTGCCTTCTGCGGGGGCCTGGGCCATCGGATCACCGACTGCCCCAAACTTGAGGCCATGCAGACCAAACAGGTCAGCAACATCGGCCGCAAGGACTACCTGGCCCACAGCTCCATGGATTTCTAGCCGTCTGCCATCCCTCTCCAAGAGGCCTCAGCCTCTGGGTTCCAGTTGCCTCCCACACACCAAACCCTGGACAAGAAGCCAGCATCCTGGGCCCAGCTGGCTTGGGCTAGGCTGGGCCTGGCTGCCTGCCCTCTGTGCCTCTGGAATTGCTTTTATTGCTCCCCTTTATCCCAGTTGCCATTAAAGCACAAGTCTCTCTAGTCTCAGCCCCAGCCCTGCCTCTGTGCTTCACCTTGTCTGCCCATTACTTCCTGGCCTCCTCACCCTCTGACCTTAGAGCCCTGAGGCAGATCCTGGGTCTCCCCAACATCTAGATGGCTAGGTTGTGGCAGGAGGCATCTAGCTTGATTCATGACTTGGATGCACCACACTGGCAGACAAGGCAAAATCCTTGATGGGGTTTTTGTGATTCTGGCTCCAGCCCTGCCCAGCCTCCTCCTCGTTGGTTGTGTAAAGCTCCTTTACAACTTTCTGCCTCGGGCCCCCTGTTCCTGGTATGGAGCCCTCCACTCTGTTTGCCGAGGAGCAGCTGGTGCCACTGGACTGCCACTCAGGCTACAGTCAGTTTCTGATACGCTCTGTGCCAAGCTCTCCGCTGGGCAGCTTACAGGTGACTAGGAGAGAGATCAGACATAATGAGCATGTGCAGCAGTCACGAGTATGTTGACAAATGAACCAGGATTTCAACATCTGGCAAGGGGTAGGCAGAGGACCGTGCTGGTTGTGGCTCCTCTGTGCCAGACACTTCATGTGCAAGGCCACATGCTTATCCCAGCAGAACAGCAGTTGCTCAAGCCATTTGTCACTTGGTGTGTGGCCTTTGCAAGTTACTTAATGTTTGAGCCTTGATTTCCTCATTGTTGAAACGACAGTGAGAATGCAAAGGGCTGGGTTTGTAAGGCTGGGGCTCCGGGCTGTGTGGTCCATTTTTGGCACAAAGCCGAGTGCAGGAGGACTTGGAAAAAATTTCCTGCCTGAGAAGCAACACACTCCATATATGACCCCCAAATTATATTCCTCAGCTGGCTTATATATTCCTTTCCAAAGGTGGCTTTGAGTGAATGACATGAGGCTGTTTTCAGAATTCAGATCCACATTCAGAGCCAAGTTACTGGCCTCCAGCAAGGCAAAGAAGAAAAGAAGAAAAGGCCCCAGCAGGAAGAAAAATTTAAAAAGAGCATAAGAGCTCCCTGGGGGCCCACTGGGGATATGTCACCTACATTCATGTGGCCAGAGCCACACAGGAGGACAGAAGCACACTGCTGGGCCTTTGTGTTCTCAGCATGAAGGGGTGAGGGAAGTCCACCCAGAGTAAGCAGCTGGCACCCAGAGGAACAGTTGGGTTGGGCTGGGGTCAGGACTTAACACCTTTCGTGCTGGGCTGAGGAGCCCAGGGTAGACCTGAGGGCAGTGGGAAGCCAGAAAAGGTTTAGAAAGGGGAGAGATGAGTTCGCCCAGGTGGGGTGGTGATTGAAAGGGAGATGCTCAGGCTGGCATTAGGGGCTGTGAAGATAGAGCAAATGAGTATTAGAAGTATTTTGATATAAGGATAAGCCAACCAACCAGGGTTGTGAGTAGGAAGAAAGCTTGCCAGTCTGGCTGTGGGAATGCAGGTCTCAGGTTGTACAACTGCCCCCCTGAGGGTCAGGGAAGGCTTCAGAGCCCATGACCAGGGAGGAAGCCTGTCGGCCTGATGCCCACTCACAGCCAGCTGACCCAGGTATAGGCATGGGTCATTTGCCCCCGGCGGTCTGGGGCCTCTGCCAGGCATGTGTGAGCACCTTGGCCAGCTGGAACCTGAAGGCAGAAATATGTGATGCCCCGCCCCCTATTCTAGCTCCTTTACTGTAGAAGGGATTCCCCTCCCCCAGTCGTACAGCTGCCTCTCTGGACAGAGGGAGGGGAAGTGGCCAGAAGGGGAAGTGTGAGGAGTTCCCCTCAGCCTGTCACCAGTCGCCTCAGGCCTTCGGAGTGGTGGCCCTCAGGCCCTCTGCGGCCATGGAGCCTCTGGAGACCCCCGTCAAGGACGGCATCCTGTACCAGCAGCACGTCAAGTTCGGCAAGGTGGGGACCCTGGCTGCCTGGGATAATTGGGCCTCACACCTGGACCTGGGAGAACGGTGATGGGAATCAGGGTTGGGGGATCTAACCCAGATGTGGGGATGGGAGAGAGGCCCATCCTCTCTCTGCCTGAGCAGAAGAGCTGAGCCTGAGTGGGCCTTGGGGAGACCCTGCCTTATTTGTACAGGGGGAAGCCAAGAATCAGAAGGGTCTAAGAACCCAAACCTCGGGGCAGGGCACAGCCGGGAGGCTTGCTAACCCAACAGCCTTCCACCCTTCGGAGGGCCGGGGGCTGAGCTGGAGGAGCCTCCAGAGGAGGAGCCCCACCCTGCAGAAGCGGGCTCGGCTCCTCCCAGCCTGTCATGGGACATAGTAAGGGGTTCACTTCTCCTCAGGCAGCGGGCTTTGCACCCCCACAGCTCAGCTGCAGCTGCTGCCCAGGCAGATAAACGGTCTGTTTCCTTTGCTTGACACTATTTGCATGTTTCCTTCCTTGCCATCACGAGAATGAGACCTCCCTCCTGCCATAGTCCTTGTCCCGTGGCCCAGGTGACCTTTGGGGGGTGTGGGGCTGGGCACCAACAGAACAGCGGTGTCCAGTGCTCTGGTTTAGCCATTGGATACTTTATGGACATAATCCAGTAGAAGCCCCAGCCTCACATTGTCATGACGTTTTGAGAGACTAGGACACTAGTCTTCAGGAGGTACCAGTTAGGAAAGTGTGGGGTGGATTTAACCCAGGGCTGACTGACCCCAAGCACAGACTCTTCCCCCTGCTGGGCTGGCTGTGGCAAGGCCTCCTTCTCTGAGGCCCTGAGGAGCCGGGGGAGGTGAAGGCCACCCTGGGTGACCAGGAGAGTTTGCTGAATGAGCTGCAGCGGTCTTCACCCCCATCCTCACCTCCCGCAGAAGTCCTGGCGGAAGGTGTGGGGTCTGCTCTATGCAGGTGGCCCGTCAGGCGTGGCACGGCTGGAGAGCTGGGAAGTCCGGGACGGTGGCACGGGGCCAGCAGGCGACAGGTCTGCATACCCTTGCCGACGGGGAGAACGGCGGGTCATCCGCCTGGCCGACTGCGTGTCGGTGCTGCCCGCTGATGGTGAGAGCTGCCCCCGGGACACCGGCGCCTTCCTGCTCACCACCACCGAGAGAAGCCACCTGCTGGCCGCACAGCACCGCCAGGAATGGATGGGCCCCATCTGCCAGCTGGCCTTCCCGGTGAGCACAGGGCAAGCGGGCAGGGCATCCAAGGTCTGGCCCCAGGGGACCAGCTCCCCTCCCTCTTATTCATTCCATATTCACTCACATCTTGTCACTCCCCAAGCACACCTGCCAAGTACCTACGAGCCTGGGAAACAAAAACCACAGAAAAATGTCAGCTCGCCATCCATGCTATGGAGAAAATGAAAAGGCGAGTGGGACAGGAGTGAACCAGGGGCCTTAGGCAGGATGGTCTAAGAAGGCCTCTCAGGAGGAAACAGAAGGTCTGAGTCCTCAAGGTCAACCCACCAGGCAAACCTCTGAGAAGGGGGTCCCGGACACTGAGATCCGAGGAGTGTCCTGGCGGAGGCAGCGCAGTGTGGTAAGGCCTTGAGGCAGAGAAAAGTTTGGTTTGGCTGGAGGGCAAGGAGTGGGAGGGCCAGGAGGAGGGAGGTGAGAGTCTGGTGGAAGCCAGCTGAAACCACGTTGGGCCTCATGTGTAGTTTGGCGTTTTGTTGAGAGTGAGAGGAGAAGCCTCTGCTGGGGTTGAGCGAGGGACTGAGTTTTAGAGCTTCACGGGGTCTGTAATGGGCCAAAAGGAAATGAGTCTGGTGGATTCTTTAATACGTGAAACAAGAGTTACCATATGACCCAGCAATTCTCTTGAGAATTGAAACATGTTCAAACAAAACATATGAAAGAATGTTCAGAGCAGCACTATTCCCAAAAGCCCAAACAATCCAAGTGTCTGTCGGCTGATGAGGATAAACCGAATGTGTCTGCCCGTACAATGAAGCATCACTCAGCCATTAGAAGGAATGCAGGAGGGAGCCGTGCTTCACAGCGGAAAACCTCAAAAACATTAAACTAAGTGAAAGAAGCCAGGCACAAAAGGCCACCTATTGCATGATTAAGCAAATCCATAGCAATCAAAAGCAGGTTAGTATTTGCCAGGGGCTGGAGCAGGGTTTTAATGTGGAGTGATGAGAAGGTCTGGAACGAGAGAAAGATGATGATGATTGGACAATCTTGTGACTTTTCTAAAAAAAACACTGGATTATGCACTTTAA